TGGCAGTCCATGGTACTTTTAATATTCTTCTCCAACATTATAATTCAAATGCACTGATTCTTCTATTGTCTTCCTTATTTACTGCCCAAGTTTCAAAACATAAGATTTTACCATGGTTCTTTAACTTACTCAAATCTAGGAGTTAATACATTCCTAAAATATAGTCTTACCAAAATTAGCAGTAACTCTTAATAGACCACTCAGAAATCTAAAATACACTGAAAGCTAGAGAGCACCACGTAAGTTTTTAAATTGCGCAGCATTGTGGCAACACCGGAAACTGTGTCTGCTTCCCCTAGCCTCAGGGTTAGGGTTTCCCATAAAGCTTACCTCTTCAAGCTTCTTCTCAATCTCTTTAAAGACAAGATCTGCCTTAAATCCATCAACTGCAGAACTGGTTGGAGCAGCCTCAATGTGATGAGTTCTAAAAGAACTAGGAGGAAGAAATCATTTCAATCCATGGAATTGTAAAGGCACTAAAATTTTCAACATTGAAACAACAGTCATATTCAAAAGTCCTAATAACAGAGACATTGCGACTCCTATGACAAGGAAATACGCTCTTCATGGAGTACACAAAACGAGATGTCCTTCTCAGGAAGTTAAGAAATACTGAGTGCTCACTGGGGGCTAAGCATTGTTCTTAATACAAGAAGGCTTCAAAAAGTTTGTGGGAAAATGGAATTAAAAGAGAAATTTTTTCATGAACTTTTGGAAGCCCCTTCATATGATAAACAATCAGGCAAGAGTAAAGAAAACAATTACTATGAAGAAAAGAAAGCAGGTTAAAGCGTTGCTGTCGTTAGTTGTCGCGTCAGTTCCAATTCACGGTAACCCCATGTGTTAAGAGAGCAAAAATGCTGCCCCCGGTCCCATACCATTCTCATGAATGCTGGCGTGCGTTACAGCCTATTGCTGCGTCCACAGCATATTCTGAGAGCACTCCCACCTAGGATCTCATCTTCCAACACTATATTCAACACTATTCTGTGCTGATAAAGTTTTCACTAACTCATTTTCAGACAGGAATTGCCAGGTCTTTCTTCCTAAATTGTCTTAGTCTGGAAGCTCTGTTCAAATCTTCTGCCAAGAGTGACCCTATTGGTATTTACACTACCGGTGGCATAACTTCTAGTAACCATGGGAACCACCACAGACAGATAGTGATATGGGAATATGCTGTTTGTTGTTGTGTGCCATTGAGTTGGTTTTAACTCATATAGGGTTTCCAAGATCAGCTAGTGGATTTGAACTGCGAACCTTGTGGTTAGTGCAATTCACAGTCTAGTGCTTATCCAACAGCACTCAGGCTGTTGTTAGCTGCGCTAAAGTAGGGTCCATATCATGGTGATTCCACAAACAATGAGCAAAAATGCTGCCTATTCCTGTGCCATCCCAATGATAGGTTGCTGATCAGACCCCTATGATCCACAGGTTCTTCACTGACTGGTTTTAGGAAGTAAATCTCCAGGCCTTTCTTCCTAGTCTGTCTTAGTCTGGAAGCTCCACTGAAACAACATGCAAACCTCCACTGCATCTGTGTATGTTAACTATTTTAGATAATGAGGACAGCGAAGGAGAGAATATTTCAATTAGGCCTTGTTGTTGTTGTTAAATGCCGCTAAGTCAGTTCTGACCCATAGCAACCCTGTATGGGGTTTCTGAGGAGCAGCTGGTGAGTTTGAATTACCAACCTTGTGGTTCAAACGACTTTGCAGTCTGGCACAATGCCTTAGATTATGTAAATGAACAAGCCTTCCAAAAATCTAGGTTGAGAAGCCAATTCTAGGCTGAAGAAACGAAAAAAAGACCGAGACAGGAACTAGATTGGCAATTAAAGGAAACTGAAGAAGCCCACTACGACTGGAGCAGAGCAGAGGAATGGGAATATATAAAGTCAGAGAAACAAACAGCTCAATATAGCATGGGGTTGATAGGTCATAGTCAGGGGTTTGCATTTTATTTTAAGAAAAATGAGAAGAACTAGAGAATATAAACTCAAGAGGGGCATGACCCAATTTACATGTTTGTTCAAAGAAATCTGGCCGGCAGCTAGAAAATGAACTTGCAGGGGGCAAGTGGAGAAGCACTGAGACACATTAAAAGGTACTGCAGTGGTCCAGGCAAAAGAAGGTAAGTGGTGGTGGTGGTTAGGTGTCATCGAGTTGGTTCCAACTCATAGTGACACTATGTACAACAGAACAAAATGCTGCCTGATTGTGCACCAACCTCCTAATTGTTACACTTGAGACCATTGCTGCCGTCACTGTGCCAATCCATCTCCCTGGGATCTACCTCTTTTTTGCTGATCCTCTACCTTACCAAGCATGATGTCCTTCTACAGGGACTTGGTCCCTCCTGACAATATGTCTGAAGAATAAGAGATGAAGTCTGGCCATCCTGGCTTTTAAGGGGCATTCTGGCATTACTTCCTCCAACACAGATTTGCTTGTTCTTCTGGCAGTCCATGGTACTTCCAATATTCTCCGCAAACACCATAACTCAAATGTATCAATTCTTCTATGCTCTTCCTTATTCACTGTCCAACTTTCACATGCATATGAGGCTACTGAAAAGACCATGGCTTGGGTCAGGCGCACCTTAGTCCTCAAACTGACAACTTTATCCTTGATCATTTTAAAGAGGTCTTGTGTAACATATGCAATGCATTGTTTGATTTCTTGACTACTGCTTCCATGAGGGTTGAGAGTGGATCCAAGCAAAATGAAATCTTTGACAACTTCAATCATTTTACTATTTATCTTGATGTCATTTATTGGTCCAGTGATATGATGCCTTGGACTTAGTTGATACATGTTTTTTTTTTATCCAATGTCATCTTAATTCCCACTAAGTGATTGGGTTGTTGTTGTCAGGTGCCATCAAGTCAGAACTGACTCATAGCTACCCCATGCACAGCAGAACGAAACAATGTCTGATCCTGGGCCAACCTCACTACCGCTGCCACACTTGAGTCCATCAATGATGCCACATGGCCAATCCATCTCATTAGGGGTCTTCCTCTTTTTCTCTGACCCTCCACCTTACCCAGCATGACATCCTTCTCCAGCGACTGTTTCCTCC